CGTAACGCTTTCCTTCTTTCTAATCTATTACATATTATAACTGTAAGTAAATGATCTAAAGCTAAAATATTTTACTAAACGATTAACATTTTAATAATATGTATATTATGTTAGGTGTCGTAACAAAATGCTGTATCTGTTCTTCATGATCTTTGATTGGAATGGAATGGAATTAGAAACCGGTCAATTACTGTTCATTTTAATGTGGGAGGTAACCAAATGAATTCCGATATTATTGAATCATTGAGCACTCAATTATATATATATTTTTTAGATTGAGCTCACCTTATTCAATCGCGTTTGACCATCACTCTAATGACTAATTAATTTAACATCTGAATGTTCAACTGAACAAAAATCAGAATTTTGGAGGCTGATGTAGAAAGGTAATTGTGATTGGGTGGATAAAATTTACTGTTATTTTCTATACAATTGAATTAACTAGTGTTAATGTTGTGTCATCCGTGAAATCGATATTTATTGGGGTTGGTTGAGGCACTTATAACATCCGTGAATGGCGTGAATCGCTTCGGTTCGGGGCAGATATAGAACCTTAATGGATTTCAGAACTGACACATAATTCATTTCAGGAGAAGTGTGTGTGTGTGCACCAGTTCATTCTAAATAGCTCATTATTCATGCAGAATGATTCGAACAATATTCAGAAATCTCATTATAACTGCCTTGTTTATTCATCTCGTTCGAGGAGCACTATTCACTATACTTTATTCAACATGCTTGATCGACTTTCTCGATTACATTAGATCTGAAAATTATGATAAGCAGTCTGTATTGAAACATATTTATTTAAAAAAAAAAACAAGAAATAAATGTAAATGTTAATTAATATCATAATGAAACTACAATATATTTTCAAATTTCCTGAAAAAAAAATATCATATTTTGTCTTTTATATTGAGAATTCTCTAGTCGGAAATAAGTGTTTTTTTTTAATATGAAAATAAGCATTTCGGATTTCGAACCAATCGCATTTGTTAAACGCAAAAGTTTTGTATGTTTGGACAAACTCATGTTCGGAAAATGAATAATACTGATCGATTAACGTTACTTTCACGAATTTTGTTCGTTAACCGATCATCCACTGTACATGTATTTGAATCGATATTGTAAGTTTGTAGCGTTTATTGTAAATTTACAGTACGTACGTTTATATTAGAATCAAGCCAATCAAGCCTTTCTTAGATAAACATACGATTGCCTCTTCGACGGTTTAAAGTAAATGTATGTGTAGATATAGTTTCTTGCTATTAATATACATTGGTGATCCTATTATAACTAGTATTGATGTTCCATCTCTTCTTTGAATCAAGTGCAGGCGGCTCCTAATAAAATTTTATTTTATTTGAATTTTATTTCAAAAAATTAGAAATAATTACTGTCGTTTTTAAAAAAATATTTTTTATAGGTATTCTTATATGTAACTAGTGAAAATATGCAATTACTATAAATAAAAAAAATTTGAATGTATCTACGGCCTCATGTGTATCCACCCCTGTTCTATACTAATTCTATTGCTTTATTAAATTTTCTAAATTGCGCATCTTGTTGTGTTTTTTTAAATAGTCTTCTCTTCGGGGTATTCTACAACTAAGATATTCTTTGTTGTTAAGACTGACCCGAGGATAACAAAAGTAAAAAGTAACATTTGATTTGTTCTATAAAATATAGTAAATAATGAAAATATTTTAAAGTTGTTCTATTAAAGTTTTTTTTTGTCTTAATATTACATTTATGAAACTTTCATCAAAATGAGAATTTTAATGAAGTTTATCGGTTTTTAAAACCCGGTTTTGAAGAAAATTATATTTTGAAGAAAAAAAAAACTCAAATCTTAAAATGTATACTGTATTGTCATGAATATCTACCTAAGAACACCAGTCTAAGGCCAAAAGCAATATTATTATTTTTTCCTTTTCGAATGTATTAGGCTACGAAATTCAAATTAGTTTAGGTCTTATGAAAATTTACTAATTTAAAATAAATTCTTTATGTTTATCACCTTTTTTTATTAAGATTCGAAAAGTCCGATTTTGTAAAACCATAAGAACAATAATAAAATAAAATATGAGTTCATTTACTTCTATATATTTTATATTTTAATAATTGTAATATTTAATAATTGTAATTTTGATCAAAATAAGAAATTATTTATAGTTAGTTTAACCAGATAAAATGAGATTTTTAATTATAGATTATTTTAAATTCTTAATAGATTCGAATTATTGGAAAATCTTGCAGTATCGTCTTATTTGAAGGAATATTCATTTTTTTTACCATATACTTATATAATATCGTCTTCCACGCTCCGTTTCGTTCACGTACAGCAAGGACGTTTTTCTTTCATTCTTTTTTTTCATACAGTGAAAGAAATATAGTGAGTTGAAAAATGTTGGGAATGTTTTTGTGAGATATTGTAGTCGCAGGATGTTATATTAAATATTCCCATTGCAGATTGAGTCGGATGAAGTGAAATTGAAAAAAATAATACGAATTCATATCCACAGTCAATTGTAAGGAAATTGGAGTCAGGAAGAACAATAATATTATTTTTATTGTTCAAATATATATTCTACTTTTAACTGTTTAGTTTTAAAGAAAAGTAGAAGAAAATACATCAAAGTTTTTAAATGATATGTCTAACTTTTAATGCCAAATGAAAGCTGTCACCTTGTATTATGGAATTGGTGAAATATTTGTAGAAATGGGGTCGCAGAACTTTCGCTTAATCGGGACACGTCGGGACTAGTACATTTTGTCCCGATTATCCCGAATTATCCGAAGTTCCACAAAAATTACAGGATTAGTGTTTTTTAAGATTTTGTTTCATAAATTGCATATTAAAAAAATGAATACGCAATAAAAAGTTATATAAATTCTAGAATAATAAATATGTATGTATCAAGAAGGTCCATGGATGCGCCTCAGGTATAGCATCCATGCGTATGGGGCAACTTTGAACTCAAATTACAACCAAACGGATAAAACCACAGTAATATATCTATACATGTTGGATTCCCCATACATTCAGCTTTCATATGTATCTTTTGGATTCATTCTAAGTATTATAGGTTTCGAGAAAATCAATGAAATGTGAAAACACTGCTTTTTATGCAACATCTATGAATTGACTCTCGATTACGGTCCCAATTAAACGGAAAGGCGGAGTAAATTTGTGTTATTTCCATAGTTTTGTTTTCCATACATAAAATGTAGTAGAAAGTGTGGGTGTTGGAAATATAGACTTCTTGGAAAAATATGTTAATTATCGTGGTGATTAGTGGAAAGTTTGTAAATACTAATTCAATATTTACAAATAACAAACTTGTAGCTTGTATTTTTTCAACAAAATCAATATTTACGTTTACAATTAAATCAACAATTCTAACATTTTTCATCCTTAAACAAATATGAATACGAATAAATATATACATTTAAAAATAATCCACTATTTTTCTATTATTTGTTGGAAAATAATTGCAAAAAATTAAGACTAATGTGAGAGATTAATTTAATGCAAAATTCGTATGTAAACATTATGGAAAAAGTAATAACTTTTTCACTTAATCCCCTTTATCTGAAACGAAATAATTAATTATTTAGAAAACATATTAATTAATAATTAATAATAGTAAAATATTTCATGTTTAATAAATACGAATAAATATAGATTTTTTTAAATTCAACTGTTTGGTAATATTACATTATTACTTAATTGAATGTAAAATCCCTATTGAAACATTGAGAAATATAGAATTTTCTGTTTTAATTCATTAAACTAATAACTTTTTCATTTAATCTCATTTCTCTATAATCAAAGTTTTAATCTCCTTATTTGAATAATATATATGTATAATTAAAGAGCGTATAATAAATAACACTGAAAATATCATTAAGGAACGTAAATAAATAATTAATTAACAAATTGACGAAACGGGGGATAATTCATGCGCGGCATAATAATTATTGGAAAAAATTTAAATATGAAGACCTCAAGAGACGTCGGTTCAGGAAATTAATTAGCCGCATTATTTACGGCCCGAAAAATTAATCGCGTTTGCATAACGAAGGACGTAAAAACCTTCGCATCTAATTTGGAATTAAGTCGTTCCAAGTTTATATAACGCTTTTGTTATATCGTTCTCTCTTTCTCGTTTTATTTTTCTTTACTTCTGTTTCGTTTCCACTGGACCTCCTAGGTTGATCTCCAGTTATGGAATTCCATTTAATTTTTAGTCATTTCAACAGCATTGTTAGTACAGTTACATCTTCTAACGGTTCCACACAAATTTTGCGGAGCACATCAAATCCGATTCATTTTCTCGTGTGCAATGTTTTACTTTGTAATTATGAAGTAATAACATTTTGATGAAGTCGTTAATCCAAGTCACATATGTTTGAAACATATGTGAGCATTAAATGAGATATTTTTATATTTCTATAGAAATTCAATTATCTACTTTTGATATATCTTTATTACATAAAATTGTGGTTGAAATAAGAAGAAATTAGTTTGATAGATTATTACTTTACAAAATTGTAACAAAATGGAATTGAAAATAAATTTAACATCTCTAATTGTAATGAATGTTGTAAAGAGCAAATCGTTTTTTACTTAATAATGTATATTAATAAATCTGTTACGTGATAAATATTAATTAAATTTAATAAAGAATAAAAATATGAATAATGTTGAGAAATGTATCATTATGACAATGTATGCATGTGTTATCCAAGCCATGAATACAATTGCTTATGAAAAGGAATTGTTGGCAGTGAATCGAAGTAGGTGTATCATCGATTTCGTCACCGTTAAGATGGTTTGGATTTGCATAACGATGCGTGCAATTGTATGTGCAAATGGTGTGAGAGCTGAACAGAAGCTCGTTATGAACGTACGCAATCGTATGTAACGAACAACTGTTAATTTCGATTTCTCCACTGTTTCCTTCTCTAAATCATATTTTTTTTTCTGCTTGCAGGAATGCGCTACACCTGAGAAGGAACGAATTTCTTTGCATCACAACGCACCAGGTGAGTTACAATTGTTGTTGTTTGCGCACGTTTTCAATCATATACGAGACGCAATTAAGGCAGGTGTCGTAAATCCCAATCAGAATCGAAATGTGTTGACTTCTCAATGGTAATCCAGTCGCTAATGGATGATAAATAAGTGTCGTTTTCGGTTTCAGGATTTAAATAAGACTGATTGTGCGCAGGGGCTGAGCTGGAGGAGGAAGGGTCACATTCTGTCGTCAGGGCTTTCAGAAGTCTTAACAAATACAGTCGAAGGCGGTTTTTCTACTCCCATGACAGGTGTATTAATTGTTATTTTATTAGACAGTACAATCACCTTTTTTTACCTATTTTTTTCTCTCTTATACATTCATGTACATATAATAGCAAGTAAATTAGATACGAAAGATTCATAATAATTAAATTATGATATAAATTTAGATTTTTTAAGTTACCTAATGAATTTAAGACTAGCTTCACTATATCTTAGTAAACCATTGATCAACAGATTATTAAATTATTGTGTGTATTGTGTATCTAACTTATTTTTTTGATCTATAAGAGATCTACAGTGAAAGAGTAGGTAAATAGGTAGGTTTGAGAACACATTAACTTTATTTTTGAAATTTTTTGTAATTGAAGATAAAATATTTTTTTGTAAAATAAAACCACCGACAGCATCAATAACTACCTCTATACAAGGGGTCTATATCGCAAGACCGTCTATTAAAATCCCGACGCTTGAAATCCCGACTACCATAATCCCGACAATCAAAATCCCGACTATATCGAAATAACGACTACCATAAAAATGTTATTGTAGAAATTTATGATAAAAAACGTCGGGATTTTGATACACTCGGGATTTCGAACGTCGGGATTTCGGTTGTCGGGTTTGCTACCGCTATACAAGATCTAAATCGTCGACAAGCTTGAATTAAATGATTATAATTCATAGCAGACATTACTCCGACTATAGAAGCTTTCAGTGATTTTTTTTAGTTACATGGGGGTGTTCATTGAACTCTCACCCAAAAACTCTACACACGTAATAATCCAGGGATAAAGGTCCGTGGAGTTAGGATGTCTTTTGTATGTGACCGCATTGATTTTCTGGGATTATGATCAATGGTTTATTGCAGTGACCCGCGAAAATATTTAGGGGCAGTCTTTTCAAATGTTTAAGGACCAAAGAATTTGAGAAACGCTGGTTTATTGAACACGCTGTTTTTATGCTATAACACCTCTGATAGGTTGTCATCTTTGTTCTCCAACTTCTTACCAGCTTTATAAACGAATGATATTGCGAATTTTAGATATCGCGATATTTCCAAATACTTTTAAATTACTAATCTTAAAAGTATAATTTACTAGAATGCTGTACAATCAACAAAAAAAAGATGTCTTCAAATACCTTACGCACCCTGTATATTTTAAAAATTATGTAAAAAATACTGTAAACTCCGTATTTTTTTATTTTTCTTAGAAAAGAATCTCAAATTCTATAATATTTTCTAGTTTTTTTTTTTGGAAATGATTAAATTTATTTGTTAAATAATATAATTTTAATATTTATAAAAAAAATCAGTCTAACAATTTATTTTGTAAATTAATTTTTTTTTTCAATAATTAGGTAAATTAAGTCATATATTGTTAACTAATTAAATTAAATAAATGTCTATAATAATCATTTTAACGCCGATTATCCGTGTTTATTCGGGAACGTTAAAGCTCGGATAATTGAAAAACACGGCTAATACATATATCACTATTGTTTGCTTTTAAAACTTAATATACAACAACAAATCATTTTGAAAGCTAATCTGTAATTGGTTAATGTTTTCTTTGTAAAATTATTTACTAAAAGGCAGATTTGAAAAAATATAATAAGTAAAAACTAAGTACGGATAACCCGTACCATGGTGAATTAAGACCCGGATAATCGGCGTTATACTGTATTTTATAAATTAACTAAGTTATGTCTTAACATCTCAATTGCTATAATTGGCACATTATATAAGTTGCTTTATATGATTTTATTGAAGAGTTGTAAAAAACAACAGTAATTTACTAACTTGTACGAGGGAGAAATTAATTTTGAGTTAGTATTTCATTGAAAGACATAATTCTCACTTGACGATGACCGTTATGATTTTTTTTAACAATCCAATCATATTTTCATGATTTATGCATTTCTTTCTATTAATGGAAAAAAAAACTGGATATACTCTCAAATTATATTTTTTCCTTTTACTTCTTCTTCATCGTCTCTCCATCATTCTTGTATTTTTATTGCGGCCGGTCGCGTTAAAATGGAACGGTGTGCGAGAGGTTTACGAGCACTCAATCAACTGGAAGAGTCCCACACACTTTTCTTGGATATTCGATTTTTTCTTTTGGATCCTCATTGGTGCAATTCCATTCCGTAGCATCTGGTAAATAAGAGCATCAAAGAAACTAAGGGCAGCATTTATATAATCGCTTTCAATTTACAAATATTAAAGATCGGTTATCCGTTGTACGGTGAAAGTCATGAACGAAAATCTGTTGAAGAAAAATGAAGTGCGCAGAGTGGATGGAATCTGGCTCGTAATTGATCTCTAATTTAATTTCGAGCGAACCACACACGATGAAGCCACGACTCATTTCTTTTTTGTTCTTGTTCTTCCATCTTCTTCCTTATATATATAAAGTTTCCTATCCTCCGATGAGCGGGATAAAAACGAGTAAAAAACTCGATGAAAGATTGATTGCTATCGATTTCCTTGTGAGTGAAGTTTAAAGGCAAAGCTTCACATCCGTTACAAAATCTCCTCCTGCTCTAAGCTCCGATCGGATTTCACGACGCATTAGGGTCTTCGTTCTTCGACAGTGCATAGATGCTAAATTAGGTAATTTAGGAAATAAAACATTTAAAACAATTCTCAAATTTGCACAATCACAAAAACTCAAAATTAAAGCCAGAAATATTTTGATCATTATTTAATAAAACCTATTTTTAGAAATACTGAATTTTGAAAACTGTTTAACAACATTTCAAATGTATTTTCGTACAAACCTTTAGATATAGAATTTGTTACCGAATTCACGATAAATTAAAAAGACGTATAGAACTGAAGTGGCAATGAATTAATAAAGATTGATTTTACCTTATTGACAGTTATGGGCGGAAGGGTGCGGGGTATATGTGTGCGTAGATAAAGGGGGAGAGAGAATAAAAAAAGAAAGTTAGATGATATATGGGGTTGCGGTAACAGCGGAGAAAAGGTTAGATTTGTGAAAGGATGCCAGTGTTTGAATTGGGAATAAAGGAGTACGGGGGAGAAAGAAAAAATAAAAAAAAAGAGGGTAACGCCACTTCAGAGGAAATTGGTAAAATGTAGAAAACGATTAGAAAGCAATGGTAATTAATCTTGCATGAAAGTCTTTGAACAGTATTTTTAAGACAAAAAAAAGTTCAACTAACTTATTAGTAAATTATGTAATTACATCATAATTGTTTCCTTAAATGAAAATCGTGTAATGAGGTTTCGCTTAATCACAAATAATTATGTGAAATTAAATTTGTATGATTTATATAGAATTGTAATGTTTTCTTTATTTTGTCATAACAAATTCATTGGTATAAAGATTTGTAAATTCTTTTACTCAATTACATTTTTGCATTATGCAATTATAGTTATTTTTCTTTACTTGAATATCTTGCTTAGTGTGCAATATCCCGCACTGTTTGAAACCGGACTAATCAAGAAATAAAATACTTACAAAAAACGCACAAAAAGAAAGTTGATAATATAAAGGGTTAAAACAATCATTTATAATTTTGTGTACTGAATTTTTATTTCGCTCAATTGAAAAATTGTTTATTTTGAAATTTTCGAACCGTACTATTATGAATCAAAGCCGCACTATGCGAGGTATTGTTGTACTAATAATTCTGTTTCTTGTATTGTTTCTAATATTCGTCATTAATCCGTTCAGACTATTAGCTGACTTGGTGGGAGGTGGGACGAATATCAAACAAAAATTTATTACAAAATGACGAATATTGGAATTCTATTGTATTCTATTTTCTAATAAATGAATATAAGATTTAATTCGGTAATATTTTGCATGTTGGGCAACAAATTACTATTACATAATATTTAATGAAAATACCTAGTGCAAAGGTATTTTGTAATCTATTTATGCGTGGAATTTGTGGCTTTGCAAAATGATATCTGGATCTACGCTGGCCTCTTCCGAAAGTGTATCTTCTTTTTTTTTTATTCTTGGTTTGCTTCTTGTGTGCGGTTGCCGTATTCCTTATGCAATTTTGCCGGCTGTATGTGGAAATGCAAGGGTGAAATTTACCGTGAAACCCGGTCGGTACTTTTCCAGTCGAAGGGAGTGCAATCTGTAAACTATGCGCAAAGTATTTCGAGGGGTTGCGGTGGGGTGAGTTTTACTGCCGAATGGAAGGCGACGTGCGAAGGTATATTGCATGTGCAACGTTACCTGCAGATATGGGAAGCAGGAGGTTTCCGCCTCATCGGCCGAATCGTCGAACCTCCGCAAATACCAATAAACATGCTCCAGAAATCGACCAACAAAACCTGATAAGGAAGTACTAGATGGCATTCGTTCCGAGCTCATCCAAAGCCAATATTCCGCTAAATACCGAGAATAGAATTATTCCAGGTATTTCATTTTGTCGCGAAAGCTCAGCTCACCAACCAACAAACATGTTGATGTCGAAAGTCGTGAAACCGAGCAATTGCAATCCAATATAATTCACACTGCGAATATTTGTTCTAAAGTTATGATAATTATGATGCAATAACTCTTAAGTAAATTAAACTAATTAACTATACTTTAACTAGCGTAAAGCGTGAAGTGTTGTAATGATAACAACGAGGTAAAAAAAAATATAGAAAAGAAGAGCAGACGTGTGATAGATCTAGCACGTATGATACATCTTTTATGTCCGAGCTTCTCTTCTCCGGGTGCTCTTTATGTGAGTACGTAATGTGTTTTACGGAATTGGATTGTATATGAAGTGTATTAAAACAGAGTGCAGAATGTATGCTGCGACATAATGGAACTTTATAATATTCACTAAGTTGCTTCGGTGTGCGTAACTAATAATACTCGACGTGTATGCAATATTTAGATGCTGGTCATAGTTTGGATGTGTTCAACTTTCATACATGTTTCACCAACTCCCTGATATTTCGCGTAATGGAAATTATCCTATTCCCTTTGCTAATTTATAACTCAAAAAAAATAATCTTAATAACTTAATTCCTTGAATTAGTTAT